AATGGAGAATCCCACACCCCGATTTGGCAACGTCGGCCAGAAAAAATAATAGACGGGTACGCGGTTCTTGGCTTCATGCTCAACTAAAGGAAGCTCATTTCACCACAAGTCAGAATTGGAGAAAATCCGCCCGGCAATTAGCTGACGGAGACATTCACAACCCAACATCAGTTGGGGTTGAAGGAAGGTCGGTTCGACAAAACTCACCCTTCCTGGAATGCCTTCGCGTTTGTGGAGCTGTACCCGCCGTTGGAAAGCCTCCCCCACGCCCTCGCTTTCCTCGTGCACTTGCACACGACGCTCTCGAGTGTGCCGATCTCTACCACCGGGAGGGCAGCGATGTCGTCCGCCGCGTGCAGCAGCGCCGGCGTGACCACATGGCGCGTAACATGACGCGAGCAGGCAGGGGGGTATAAGTCGTCTGCCCAACATCGTAGTCATTTTGCGGCGTGGTGACAGACGGAGTCAAGTTGTTCTACCGAACGGTGCGGTGCTACTGACGAGTGCATGCATCTGGAAACATGTAGCCTTGCAGTGCGTGTACCGTGCTGCTGCTTCCTACGGATACTACCTGCGATGCAATCGGAGCTTTCGTACATGCTCGTTAATGCTTAGGAGTTCAGTTAGATGTTCATGTCTCTACATTGACCTGCTGCCCGCTGGAACTTTATCTTACAACGTGAGTGGGATGGCATACCGTAGTTCCTTAAGGATGCCCCGGCACAAGCGCCGAAGTTTGAGACGGCAGACCAGACGTGAATAATGAGTCACCTGCGCGAGGAAGTCCTCGTGAAGCCGGTCCTCGCCGACCAGTTGCCCCTCGGACAGGTCCTCGCGTGTCGACTGCATGTGGGCCTTGGTGTAGCGCCACATGACGCGGTGAAGCAAGGTATTAATTGCCTGCAACATGGAGCAGAACCGGGCGAAGAGGTTCCAATAAATCACACGAAAATATCTGATCGTACTGGTTAATGGGAACGTTGTGCAATCGATAAGGTGAGTTGTAGACAAGAATTCGCGTACGTTAGTCTTTTAAAACATTGTCACATGATCTTTCCTTACGATGTGAGAGAGGCACGAAAAGTGTGGGCGGAAGCATGTCGTGACTAGGCCCGCACGATTCTACCAAGTGGCGTATCTACGTTGGAGTTCTACGTACATTAAGGAGAAATAAATACACGCACAGAAAGACTACCCATTCGAGATATACCCACAGTCGAACGGGATGTGGTGGAGTCTTTTCAGTAAGTGGAGGAAAACCCGCTGGGTACTGGACTTATTTCGAGTCTTTATAAGTCTATACACTGATGATTCATCAGTGATGCCAGCTGGTGCTAAGTACAAAAACATCTGTATAGGTAAATCTACACTTTACAATACATCCCCTGTAGTTCTCTACTGTGTCAACGACAAAATATCAGGGAGAATCCCTCCGTAGTGTCGTGTACTGTAAGATGTAACCTTCACAGGGGACACGGCGCAGTGTCTATTGACAGCTTGCTGGTTTTAGGAATTGAAGGAGAAATAAATAATATTGATGTAAAAATCATGGAAGATGGAAAGAAGGCTACAGCAGTACATCACTCGTTTTTCAAACCTATAGATTTTTGAATGTCACGGGCAGCAGGTGTTTCCCGCCGTTTTTTTTAATTTACAAAAAAAAAGTATTTGACCCTTTGGGGTAGCGTATCAGTGATGCTTACAGTAGAAGAGAATGGTACACCTGGTGCATGGTAGGTAGGGCATAGCGTTCAGTTTGTATCGTATTAGCTGGTTTCCTGGTATGTTTGGTGTTGGTAATCAGCATCAGTAGAGCACGGAAAGTGTTCAAATGATATACATCCAATGTGGCGATTGTTGTCAACTTCCCTGGTGTTCCTCAGAGCGGTTTGCCGAGACATCTTGTCGCAACCATGTCGTAATCCCGTTGAAGAGCATCCGTCATGAAGGTCAGCAGTAGCAGCGAGTGGCAGTTGGTCTCCGTGTGGAGCAGTGGTGTGGACATGTAAGTACGGCGAAGGATACAGCACGTAGAAATTACCCACCTGGATACACAGCGATCAGCAGAGAAGACGATGTGTGTCAGCCGCGAAGTCAATATGGGAGAGCACCTTTGCACGAAACCCGATACAGCCTTCCCGCCTTGCCTCAAGTCCTATCGGAGGGGCTACTTATGTGGTACGACGGCAGGGATCCGAATGCCGGCTGCTCCGAACACAATGGGAGGCTTGCGGTAGGGATCAAACTGGGAATGTGCGAAAGGGGCTTCCCGACCATGGGCTCAACTGCAGATTTGGAGGCCATCGAGGTGTTGTATTTTCACCTGGTCATGTGACGTCATTTGGTCTACGTTTTAGAAGAAATTTCACTTGGTCATGTGACGTCATTTGTGGTCCGAGATTAGAAGAATTCGGTTGCATGCAGCAATGCAGCAATGATTAAGGAGAAATAATTACACGCACAGAAAGACTAATGATATTTTGCGAGGGACACGGGTCACTGTGTTCCCCCTTGCTAATGGATAATTAGGCAACTCGTTGCCGTTCTTATCCATCATCCATTACGCTACTGTTAAGTGTCCTA